TAAAAAATTACTGCATTGGCCGGGCGCAGTGGCTCACACCTGTAATCCCAGCACTTTGGGAGGCCAAGGCGGGCGGATCACCTGAGGTCAGAAGTTTGAGACCAGCCTGGCCAACATGGTGAAACCCCGTCTCTACTAAAAATACAAAAATTAGCTGGACGTGGTGGCCGGTACCTGAAATCCCAGCTACTCAGGAAGTTGAGCAGGAGAATTGCTTGGACCCGGGAGATGAAGGTTGCAGTGAGCTGAGATTGTGCCACTGCACTCCAGCTTGGGCGACAGAGTGAAACTCCATCTCAAAAGAAATAAACAAATAAAAACAAATTACTGCAAGATATGTGGAAATTCCCACCACATGATGTCAAATGAGAAAGATGGGATGTGTGACTACACACAAAGCACTCTAGGTGTTTCTAAAACTACCATTCATTCGTTCATTCATTCGTTCATTCATGCGATAAGCCGGGATGTGGCGATCCCTAACACCTGTTACTAAGCGCTGCACTGACTGCTGTAACAGGCACTTTCCAAGCACGGCTTCCTGGCCGCCAGCTCGGAGGCAGGTAAGGCGACAGGTAAGGCACAAGAACATAGAGCATCCCGTGTGCACAGAAAGACGACCCAGGCTTGCACTGAAAATATCATTTTTGGTGCCCACCCCCACTGATAGGGGTAGTGGGCGGTTCCGATCTTTATCTAGACTTCTCCCTCTTCTTCAGTATTAACACAATGGGAGTGACTTATAAAAGATAATCAAAACATGCTTACTACGTGAATGAGATAATGGCATCAATGCCAAGGAGAAAGCTGGGCGCCCAGGTGGGCAGAGGAAGCAGCTGATGCAAATGTGTGCATGGAAGCCCAGGTGTGTGCATGGAAACCCTGGTGTGTGCATGGAAACCCGGGTGCCTGGATGGAAACCCAGGTGCGTGGATGGAAACCCAAGTGTGTGCATGAAAACCCAGGTATGTGCATGGAAGCCCAGGTGTGTGCATAGAAGCCAGTGTGTGCATGGAGGCCCAGGTGTGTGGATGGAAACCCAGGTGCGTGCATGGAAACCCAGGTGTGTGGATGGAAACCCAGGTGTGTGCATGGAGGCCCAGGTGTGTGCATGGAGGCCCAGGTGTGTGCATGGAGGCCCAGGTGTGTGCATGGAAACCCGGGTGTGTGCATAGAAACTGGTCGCAGCTCTCCTGTGAAGAAGCACCTGCCCAGCCCCAGCTTCCATCCAGACAGCAGGAATCCACCTCTTCCCAACAGACAGGGTCTCTGCTCCTCACCTGAGCCACAAGACTGACCACGGCGGAGACCAGGAGCACGACCTGGGGGTTGGGGGCGCAGGGGCAGCTGCTACCAGGTTAGCCCTGCCTCTGTGAGCTGTGGGGCCGGGGTACCAGGAGGCGCAGGCTGCAGCATGGGAGGCGGCCCAGGAGGAGATGCCGAGAAGGCACAGCAAGGACAGCCAGCGCGGGAGCCACCCGGGCGCCCATCCAGCAGCTGCGCACCCCCACCGCCCGAGCCAGCCTCTCTGCATCTCTTTGCTCGAGGAGGCTTCGGTGTGGCGTAGCCCTTACGGGGCCTGAGCCTTCTCAGACACAGCTCAGGTCACAGCAAGGAAGCTGCAAGGCTGGTTTTGCTATTTGGTTTACTTTTTTTTTGTTTTTTTAGACAGAGTCTCGCTCTGTTGCCCAGGCTGGAGTGCAGTGGTGTGATCTCAGCTCACTGCAAGCTC